CTCTCTCTTGGGAGCTTGCCAGCAGTCTTTGGTGCACAGCTGTCACTCCAACCTCTGCTTTCATGTCCATGTGACATTCTGGTGCATATCTGTCCATGTCTAGAGTTATTCTTTTTATAAGGACATCAAGAAGGGAGCAGTGGCACATATGTGTCATCCCAGCATTTGGGGAGGCTGGGGCAGGAGGATCAGAAGTTTGAGCCCAGCCTAGGCAATTTAAGGACTTAGCAAAACCTTGTCTCAAAAAATAAAAAGGGCTGGAGATCTAGGTCAGTGCAAGGGCTCTGGGTTCACTCCCCAGTAAACACACGCACACACGCACGCATGCACACACACACATGCACGCAGCACTGGACTAGGCCTCCTAATCCTTTCATCTTTTTTTTTTTTTGGTACCGGGGATCGAACTTGGGTCCTTGCGCGTGCGCAGCAGGTGGCAAAACCAGAGCTAAATCCCCGATCCCTAATCCTTTCATCTTAATTTGATTCATTAGTAAAGATCCTATTTCCAAACACTGCCATTCACAGGTACCAGGGATTTAAGGGTTAAGATAAATTCAACCCTACCAGCCCTTCAGTCCCAGGGAAACAAAGATGGTTTACACCTTCACATCCTGCACATCCTGCAATCCTGAAATTCCCACCTGTACTCTCCCTTTTATTCTTAGATTAAGAATCCTCATCCATTATTGTCCAAGTTAGTGGTTCTCAAAAATATGGGTTGTGAGGAGTCTCAGCAGCAGCTGAGCTCTGGAGCCGGGGGATGCCTCGTCTTGAGTGCCTCCTTGGCTTGTGGGATCAGACTCCAGGGGTGAGGTTGGCCTGCTGGGTGACCCCTTCGGGTGACCCCTTCAGGTGACCAACGCATGTGACAACACAGGCCACCAAACCAGGCTTTCCAAACAGTTGGGGGTGGCAGTGACCTGAGCTGGTGCCATCACCTTAGCCCTGTAGGCTGTAGGAGAGGCTCTGGCTGCAGACACAAAGGGCTGGCCTTCAAAGGGTGGCCAAGGCACAATAGCAACACCACAGTGACGTCAGTGTGGAGGAATGTGGCCTTTCCAGCTGCCCCAGCTGGCAGGCTGGCTGCACGTTTAGCCTTTTAGGGTAAAGTTCAGGACACATTCACTTCACGGGCCAGGCCACAGAGAAAGCTGTCCTATTTACTTGACGTCTAATCTGATGATGAGGACAGGACCAGCAACCCAGTATCCAGACAAATCTCTGCTGGGACAGGCAGGCTGTGCGGGTTTTGCTCCTATAAGGAATAAAATTAAGAGGCGCAGTGCTGCCTGGGCTTTTCTTGGGAGTAGGAAGAACAGGATGAAAGTTCTTAATTGCTGAGGTGACAGTATTTCCAGAATCTGGGCTATTTCTTGTGAAACGTTTTAAAAAATACAGCCAGGTCAGGTGTGGTGGCCCATGCCTATAATACCAGCTACTTAGTAGGCTGACCCAGGAGCATCAAAAGTTTGAGAGTAGCTTAGACAATTTAAGAGAGATCCTGTCTCAAAATAAAATTGAAAGGGCCGGGAATTTAGCTCAGTGTTTCCACCGACTGCCTCGAAAGTGCAAGGTCCCAAGTTCGATCCCCAGTACTCAAAAATGAATAACTAAATAAAATTTTAAAAGGGCTAGGGTTGTAACTGCCTAGCATGCAGGAGGCCCTGGGGGTTCAATCCCCAGTACTGAAAATACAAAAAAAAAAAAAAAAAAAAAAGCCTGTAATGCCAGCTATAAGAGGTGGGGGCAGGAGTATCCCTCGAATCCAAGAGTTCATGGCCAGCCGGGGCAGCCAACTGACCAAAGAACCAGGAGTCTCCTGGGGATGTAGCTCAGTGGCACTGCACCTGCCTGCCAAGTGTAAGGTCCTGAGTTTGATTCCTGGTACTGGAAAAAAAAAACATCCCAGGAATCTCGTAGGTTTTAGCAGGTGTGAGACCTTAACATCACCTTCCACACAAACCCTACCTTTTGGTGGGGGACTGAGCCTGCCAGTCACCCAGGCTCCTGCCTGGGACATGCTCCCCGGCACTGTACCAGGCCCTGGCTGAGAAGGGGTGGGTGAGTTCTGTGGGCCCAGCTGTGACCAGGGACTGCAGAATCTGTGCCTGTGACATGTGAACGTTTGGAGGCCTGCCTGCTGCCCATCATGGTGATAGATCTGGTGTCCTGAGACCTTAGACCGGCCTGACCCGAGATGGTTTCCCAGACCTCTCTCCATACAGTCACACTTCTGGGTGTGGGGCTGGGAGGAACCAGTGGGGACCCTATCACGTGACAGATCTCAGGATGGCAATCAAGGTAAATAGTCATCCTCGCTACTGTGACTTCTGTTCGTCTAGAGTGACTGGGAGCAGCTGAGCCTGCAGACTTTGGGCCATTTCAGGAATCCCTGGCACAGGTTCATTTTGTGGGTAAAGGAAATGAAAACAGAGTATAGGAAGTTACAGCTGTGAAGATGGGCCAGGGCTGGGGTGTTCTGGTGCCAGGCTGGTGCTGTTTACCTGGCATGGGCTGTGTGCCAAACGCAGTGGAACCAAGTGAGATGTGAGGAGGGGGTCTCTACCAGTTGCCCTAAGCTCCCTGAGCCCCAGGCCCCTGCCTCCCGCCAAAATGTGGCCATTCTGAACTGTAGGACCTCGAGGAAGGATGGCAACAAGATAGTTTGCTTAATGTAAACGCCCTGCTCTCAGGGGAAGGAAGGCGCTGAGGTGGTTCTGGAGTGTACAAGGACTGCTTTGGAGGACTCCAGCCCGCCAGGCAGCTCAGGGGGCTGGCTCTTAGCATGGGCATCAGCTCTGGGCAGCTGGGCCACCAGGGCCACTAGGTCCAGGCAGTGCTGGGGCCATGTGACAGCACACACTTCCAAGCCCGCAGGTGCCACAGACCCTGCAGAGAGGTCAGTGCTCTTCTAGCATAGTGACTACAACAGGCAATGAATGACTGACAAAGGCGCAGCACCCTGTGCGTCCCACTGCTACTATCCGAGGCTGTGTCCCTGTGTGTAACACAGGGCACAGGGCACCAAGCAGCAGCATCCTGCCTTGTTAGCAGGCACAGGAAGGGGGACAACAGAGGACTGAAGCCCAAATGACTTCACCAGGCACTGTGCCAATGCTGGAACCTGCAGGCCAGCAGGTGGGGACACAGGAAGCTCGTTTGTCCCTTGCTGGGCTAGATGCCACCAGGAATGGTGCTTGGGTCCGCTAAGGACGCAGTGAGCACTGCAGACTGTCTGAAAAGCCACGTTTCCTCTGGAAATCAGGTTTGTGACATACTGGGTGTGGTGGTGTACACCTACAGTCCCAGCACTCGAGAGGCCGGCAGGACGATCAGAAAGTTTGAGGTCTGGGCTATGCCATGAGCTCAAGACCAGCCTGGAGGACACGGCGAGAACCTGTCTCAAAAAAACCAAAGAATTGCTGAAGGCACATGAGCTTCCAGGGAGGGTGAATTTGGTTGATGCTTCTATTGGCAGCTGTGACCTTGAACTGTCATCTATACATCCAAGACGATTTCTTTGTGTTGAACCAAGGGTCTCCAGTGTCACAAGGTAATGAGGCAGAGGACACAGCACAGGAACACACCGTGGGCACGCAAGTGACTCTCTTGGGGACCGCAACCTGGCTGGGCCTTGGCATCTCCAGGGCCGAGGCAGAACACAAGCTCCACAGGGGTGCAGGGTCCTTGGCTATGTGCATGGCCCTCAGATGCACAGGTGCCCAGGGCAGGTGGATTCTTCCAAGGGGCCTGCAGACACAGCATCATTTGAGGAGCTGTTGTTGAGATTGCACGACCTTCTACTGAGCTCCCTGTGCACTGCTGAAAGTTCCACTAGCACAGGAGGAACTTCTCAGATGAAAAGGGCTGGCTGGCTAGGTGAACTGGATCACTTTAATGCAGCCCCATACATTTGATACTGAGGTATTTTTAGTTCTAAGATTAAACCATGTTAATAACAACCTGTTGAAATGAGTTTACTGAAACAGCATTTGGTGGAAGTTTTCAAAGGCTCTGACTTCATGGTGGGATAACAAATGAGATAAAAATACTTAAGACCCGGGGCCGGAGATTTAGCTCAGTGGTTTCACTGCCTGCTGCGCAAGCACAAGGACCCGAGTTCGATCCCCGGTACCCACCCCCCCAATACTTAAGACCCAAGAGAATGGCATATTCTAAGAACATAACTTTTTATTAAAAATTAATTGCAAAGCAAAATGCTAAGACAATGGCAGCATCTGCTTAATGTCAGAAGCAGCCAGCCTGTGAAGCTTGAACCGGGAAAGGGGCCCATATGAAATACACAGCTCAACCCCAAGTCTGACCAGAGAGGGCAAGGGCTGCACACCAACACCCTGCACCCCAGGCGCCCCTCATCCTGCCGAGGATGCAGTCAAGGCAGGTGAGGCTGACTCCTGACACCGAGCACCTGCTGGTAGCATTTCCCCATCCTCTGAACTGCAGGACATTCTGGAATGAGGACAGGTGGACAGGCACATCTTTTTTTTTTTTGGTACTGGGGATCGAACTTGGGACCTTGAGCTTACGAGGCAGGCGGCAGAACCACTGAGCTAAATCCCCAGCCCTGGCACATCTTTTTTTTAAGACAAGTTCTCACTTAAGTAGTCCAGGCTGGCCTGGAACTCACAGTGATCCTCCTGCCTCAGCCTCCCAAGTGTTGGGAGTATAGGTGTGTGCCACCACGACCAGCAGGCAAATCATGTTCTAAATCCTATCCTGATGTGGATATCAAGCTAAGTCAGATGAGGGACAAAATGTATCTTGTAACAGCTCCTTTTCTTCAACTAGCAAAACAGACACAAAAAGTGAACTCAAGTGCTCCACCACCAGGGCCTGGGGCTCCCTATATGAGTGTTCCAGTCACGGCCCTGCAAGGTGAGTAGTCGCTGACCTCATGAACCACGGCCACTCAGCTCTGTCGTCTGTGCTCCTGGGGCCACGGGAAGGCTCCAGAGCACCAGGCCCAGCACGAAGGGTTAAGGTTTGCAGCTATTTTATTTACAAGTATACATTTAACACAATGAAATAAACACTGCCATATTGAAGCCTAGTTAATAGTAGTGTTAACAATATGTTTCATTTTGATGATTACATTACTTTAAACAACAAACTACACTGAAAAATTAATGCCAATAAAATTGTTGGTCATAATATTATTAAGAAATACAATATATAAATTGAAAATACAATTGCTTAAAATTTGAAAATGGAAGCGAACTCATTTGGACAGAGTCAGAGTTGAACAGAAACTGAAAGTGGAGAGGCTCTGACCCAAAGGACGTCTCTGAGGCTAACAGAAGAGAAGCAGCGGAGTTTTCTCTGAGGGCGGGGACCACGTCCTCAGGCAGGACACGACCCCAGGGCCCTCAGGCCGCGCAGTCGCATCACATCACGCAGCACGAAGACTTGCCTTGGGAAGCTGCCCCGTCCATCTTTTCTGCCTCCAAAATTATCCTTCTGAAAACGTCGACCGCAGTCTGAAAGGAGAGACGCGAGCACAGGCTGAGCCCTCGGGTGCGGGCCGTCGTGACTGGGTGGAAGCGGCCCTCCTTCAGGCAGGGCAAGCGGCGGCCAGTCCGTGTCTCCTAAATGCAGCCACTGAGGGTGGGGAGACGCTGCTCCCCTCAGGACTCCAACAGGCAGGGCCTGGAGCCCTTACTTCCAACACCCCACTTCCCTAGCTCATCTTCTCGCAACCCCATGGGACCCTAACCCAACCTGCTGATGTCATTCTCCTGCCACTTGTCCCCCCCGCACTTCTGGGCCAGCTCAGGCTCTGTCGTCCCTCGGGGTCCCTTACTCCCTCACCCTTCTCTGCCCCGGCCATCTGCCCAGTGCCGCCCAGGGGAGCGCAGGCTGCAACTGCTCACTGCCCCCACGAGCAGGAGCCAGCCCCCTAGCCTGTCTCTCCCCCAGAGGAGGGCGGGGTGTACCCTGTCCTTCTCCCCGACTCTCCCCCCAGTCCTTCTCACACTGGCCTGATAAACTCGCTTCACATCTCCTCAGAAGACAGAAGCGCCATTCACGCGAGCACTGTGCATCCTCGGGCACCAAACCAACATGTCCACGCTCAGCAGGTCCCGCTGGTGTGAATGAGGGGCCGGGCCTACCTCTCAACCTCCAGGGCCCATCTCTGTCTAAACAAGGTCACTGCTAGGATCACCAGATCATCAGAAAGAGATGTGTAGAGAGAAAGGACCAGATGTGGTTTTATGTACATTTAGCCCTACTTTTTTTTTTTAAAGCCCTACTTCTTTTTTTTTTGGGAGGGCACCAGAGATCAATAAAGCCCTACTTCTTATACCACAAAAATACAGGGTAATCTCAGAGACGTTATTTAACTTTTTTGGATCTTCATTTTCTCACGTGTAAAGTAATTCCAGCACTCTAGGAGCCTGGGAGAGGATCACAAATTTGAGCCCAGCCTAGGCAATTTAGTAACTTAAAAAAAAAAAAAGTGAAATAATTCAACTAGATAATCTCAAGGACACAATAGTTACCTGATAAATTCTGATTTAATTCAATTAAAATGCAAGTATCTTACTAATCTCAATTCTTATCTGAATTCTCATCATCTACAGTATGGAACCAAACGAATCCAGAGAAAGCCCTTGCTATGACCTGGGAACCAGGGACACAGAATTAACACCCTCCATATCTGTACCCAGGGATGAGATCATAACCAACTGCACTCACCACTGGCAAGGGAAGGGGACCCCAAGTTCAAGGCTGCCCGGGCAAGTTAAACAAGACCCTGTCTCAAAATAAAATGTCAAAAGGGCTTGGGATGTAGCTCGGGGGTGGAATGCTGCCTGGTATGTGAGAGACCCTGGGTTCTACCCTCCCAAAACCCAACACAGAAAAGCTCCGAATGAACTGGGTGCCATAAAGACAGAGATCAAATGCTGACTCAGGAGAATGCTGCACAAAATACACATAGAAACCACATACCTGATTTTCTTTAGCAGAAGATTCCAAAAAGGCCGCGTTCCAAGATTCTGCCAAAGCTTTCCCTTCTTCGTAACTGATCACCCTGAAGGAACAAGAACATTCTAATTTTTGTTCCTCATTACATGAAGCATACATAATTAATGAAACGGCTCCACTCTGATCACTTTGGGGCCTGTGCGTCACCATCAGGAGTAATACACGAGCATTAATCACACCGGGCCTGGGGACAGAACAAGTGTTGCATGGCACAAGCGGTCCTGCAACTCTCTGAGGCTGAGTGGGGGAACTCGGCTGTGTTTTCCAGTGCTGCCCCTCTTGTGGCCAGGATGTAAGCAGCGCGGGGCAGGCCCTGGTGCTGGGCTCCACGCGGCCTGCTCTCTGCCTGTGCTCGTGGCACACAGCCCCGCTCGCAGGATCCGAGCCCGAGATGCAAAGGCTTGGGCAAAAACAACGAACCCTGCTGCCTTTGTCACAGCAGAGCACCTGGAGAGAATTCTCCATCTACCAAATCTGACCTCCTCTTTAGAGAATCGTGGTATTCACACTGCAGTCAACATACAGAAATGCTACAGCTGGAAATATTCCTGCCATCAGAATAATTAAAAATGCTCCACCTGTGACTCAATCAGCTTAGACTTGAGTTTATAAATCAACCATTTAAAAGCTACATACCTTTCCATATGCAGGTCTTTCTTATTCCCAACCAGCATAATAGGTATTCTATTTACAAGGAAAAAACGAACCAGTGAGTGCCAGATCGTGTCACCTGGAAGACTCCACAATGGAAAAGGCCAAGGCCAAGCAGCACTACTTACTGCACTTTCCCCACCATATCCAACAATTTGCCATGGATAACTTTGATCACTTCAAAACTGTAAGACAAAACGTATGAAATCAAGACATCCATTTCAGCACTGACGTTTCCAGATGAATGTTACATAGTGGAGAGAATGCACAGGTCACAGATCACCCCCCACCCCACCCCCGCCCTTTCTGGTACCGGGGATAGAACTCGCGACTTTGCGCTTGCGAGGCAGGCAGTGGAACCACTGAGCCAAATCCCCGGCCTCACCCTTTTAACATAAACTGCACACAAGATTTCCTTTATCTTCCCTACCCATCCTTTTCCCCTGCACATGCACTTGACACTCAGTAATTCTTCCTGATGATACTCGAAGTGCAACAGGTGCAATATTTAAATAAGTCCAAGGCTGAGCTGACAAGCCACAGAAACAAAACTCAATCTCCTGCTCATCTGACAGAGAACAAGCAGTGTAAATGACTCTGAGCCAGCACCCCTCAGTACCAGCTTGTACATCCACTGCCATCAGGGGACAACTTCAAGTCAGCTCTGGCTGGAATACTTACACCCCCGGCTGTGGCAGACAGCACAAACCTCGCCCACTGGCTCAGAAAGCCCATAAGCACCAGTGGCACCACTGCCTCTGCTGTGGCGCTGTGCAGACTGGCTCCTCCTCCACTGCTCTTTCCAGACTTGCTCAGCCAGCCTTTCTCTGACATCCCTGCCTGTGTGCTCTACCTTGGGGCACTGTCACAGACAGCCCACGCAGGCAGCACTTCACTCCCCACTGTGTGCCAGGCTTTGGAATGAATCTGCTGATGTCATTACACACTAGGGGTTTTTCTGGGGTTTTTTTTGCAGGACTGGGGAAGAAGCCCAGAGCCCATGCCTACCGTTATGCTACTTTAAAACTATGCCCAGTTATTTTTTGGTTTTTTGTTTTTTTTTTGCCAAGTGGGAATTGAGCTCTTTGTTTTTTAAAACAAGGTTTTGCTAAGTTGCCCAGGCTGGCCTCAAACTTGTAATCTTCCTACCTCAGCCTCCTTATAAGACTGGAAGGATTACAGAGCAGATGGAATTATAGGGGTGCCACTGTGGCCAGCTGCACATTGTTACTTTGATAAAAATGCTCAGGGGTCAAAAACAGGACATGGGGGGCCGGGGATTTAGCTCAGTGGTTTTGCCACCTGCTGCGCAAACTAAGGACCCGAATTCAATCCCTGGTACCAAAAAAAACAGGATATGGGAATCCTAAGTACTGTAGTCTGCATGATGGAACAGACAGAACTCTAATACAGTCATGGGCTAGCCTGGAATGGACTGACCAGGATGCCAAGGTCCATCCCATGAAGCACTACACGCTCATTTTCGCTGCACATGCACCGCTGATGAGACCCTTTCAGCTGACCCCTACCACGGGGCTGGCTGGGCTGACACAGGCTCAGTTACTGAAATGGCAGCTCCTGAATCACTTAAGTAACAGGGTGTGATCAATCCATAAACCAAAAAAAGTGTGGGTAGAGGAACCAAGTTTATTCTAAACAGTGGGTTCATTTTCATGTAGGTAGACAAGACCCTATTACACAAAGGTCTTGTTCCACAAATTTGAAGGATAAAGTATTCAACATACTGAAACTCCCAAATTGTCTTCTCTTTTTTTTGGTACCAGGGATTGAACTCAGGACCTTCCGCTTGCAAGGCAGGCGGTGGAACCACTGAGCTAAATCCCTGGCCCCCAAACTGTCTTCCAAAGTCTATTCCACATACTTTCCACATGGTCTGGTAAAAAGACAAAATGTAAAAATCCATGTATTTCTTGTTTAAATTATCAGAAAATCCCAGGTCATGTTCAGTCACTACCCAGGCAGCCTACAGTAAGATAACAGAGTTTATTCTACGAGTGTTATAAAACATCTACTAGGAAAAATGTTTCCTCCTCAATAACCCTGTGTCCATAAGAAAGTCATTAAAACCACCTAGTCTAACAATCAAGTCTAACTGTCACTACTAACCCTATCATATACCTTTAAAAGGATTCACACCAGATAAACTCAAGCCAGCATCCGGTGTCTTACCTTTTAATTGATGTAACAGAATACACAAGAATGTAGCCATTAATATCTATGGAGTATGTCTGAGGAAAAATGGAATATTCATCCTGTGGAAGAAAAAATAATTACAAGTGAGTGAAATTTTCACAGAACATGACAATGTGTACCTAGTTTTTCACAAAAAAATCAAAGATTCAAGTAAACAGAGAACACAGTATCATCCCCAAAGTGTAGCCCACACCCTGAAGGTTTAAGAACACTCTGTGGGTGATATCGTGCTTCTTGTACCTAAAACAACCCTGACTATTCCAGGACTCACAAGCTGATGGCGTCACTGACTTCCCAAGAGAAGGAACGCACAACAGCCCTGAGTCTCCTACCAGGGCAGGGCCACATTTCTTTTATGGACGGAAAGTCCAGAATCTCTCAGGCCCCAGGAAATGACACATTCTATGCATTCTGTTTCTCAGAGGTCTAGGCATCAATCTAAGGGTGTTTCAAGGTTGCCATAAACATTTGAGGGAAGAGGAGGAGATGACAGGATTAAACCACTAGGATCAATCAGTGTATGCACACTTTCAGGGACCAAAAAAATTCTTCCTGAGCCACCCCAGGAATGATTCAGTGCACTTAGTCCCTAACCTTACAAAGCAGGCTCTCAGAACCTTGGCTTCAGACACAAAATTACGAAAATGTACAGAAAGTTCATATGTCAATGCAGTTTTCAACAACACACACAACTGCCCACACAGATCTCTCACTCTCCGCAGAGAGACCGTGCAACACAGTCCTGAGCAGCCCCACAGGACAGGCGCATCACACCACCACCACAGAAGGAGCAGCTCTAACGCCACCAGCCCACAGCATGGGTACAACTCTTCCTGATGACTGGGGATTACTGCCTGTGGGAAAGTTCTTTAAAAACAAATCAAAGAAAAATTAAGTTTTACTTTAGTTCTTTGACATCATAAATAGTAATTAACCAGCCGGGGATTTAGCTCAGTGGTGCCACCGCCTGCTTTGCAATTGCAAGGTCCCGAGTTCGATTCCTGGTACTAAGAATAAAGAAATAGTAATTAACCAGAAAATAGTTCTTTCATAGAACTTTCTGTATGTAAAATAGAACCTTCACTCATTATTAGTACATAGTTTTATGACATTAGATTTTAGTGTCTTTTCTTTTCTTTTTTTTTGGTACCAGGGATCAAACTCTGGACCTTGGGTTTGCAAGGCAGGCGGTCGAACCACTGAGCTAAATCTCTGGCCCTTTAGTGTCTATTTTTGAAAAGCTAAGTGAAAACACAATCTGCAATGATCATGCTTACAGCTTAGCTACTGTAGTTCCAAAGTTTATCTCTCCTTTTCCCTAAACAGCAGAAGTGAAAATAATGAAAATCAGCACTGTGTGAAACCCAGCCAGATATAGGGACCTCAAGGAAGAAGACACCCACCTGCAAGCTACACAGCCATCAAAACAAGATATAATTCCTGTGTTCCCAGCACCAGAAACAAATTCCTAAGGATGAACTTAAGGCAAGCAAAGCAATGATTCATATGAAGCCTTAAAACACTCCCGAGTAGATGAAAGCAGCACTGTGCCCGTCTCAGGAAAAACTCTGCAGGGTCATTCATTACTGGGGAACAGTGAGTTAACACACATGAACACACCGTGATTCTGGAAAGAAGCAGGCGTTCTGAGAAACCACAGCAACTGTGGGGCACCAGTGAATAGAAACCAGTTACATAAACTACTATGGTACATGGCCTCATGAATGAACAGACTGGAAATTCTAGAAAGACCCAAATAGGTATAGGAATTAGCTATGGGATTCCCAACACTCTAGGAAGCTGAGGTAGGAGGATCATAGGTTTGAATACAGCCTGGGCAATTTAGCAATTTAACAAGATCCATTATCAAAATTAAAAAATAAAAAAAGGCTGGGGATATGAAAACCATGGGGATATAGGAGAATTCTTAAAACTGGTTATATTAAAAAAAAACAACTAGTTAAATAAAAAGTAATAAATTCCACTGTGGGAAAATTTAAATGCTCTTTATTATTGTAAACCTCTCAAACAAAAACCATAAACAAAAGAGTACCTTGAGTTTCAGATCATATACAAAATACTAATTTCCTTTACACATTGAGGGGTCTCTCAAGGCAGCAAGCACAGACCAACCACGATAAACAAAGGGCAGAGCTCACAGACAGGTAACTCAGAGCAGGGGTCATGAATGTTACCAAACATGCGGTAGGACCACAGTCCCGCATGATAAGGAAAGCGACAACTCTCAGGGCTCAAGACTGGGGGCGATGTCACCGCTGATCAGTGATTCAGTAATCAACTTGGGATGGATCCAAACTGGGCCCGATGCAGTGTAGGGTGGGGGGGGGGGATAGGGAATAATTTCTAAGATGGAGATGTATTACTTCCTGTGTAAAAAATAAAGTAACTCAATATTGTAACTCACGTATGAAGCACACATTGTGTAAAAAGCGCGTAATACTGGAAGCTGATACGGGGCTGGCTGGGCATCAATCGGGAGGTGTGCTGAGACAGCCAGGACGGGGAGGGAAGGGCTGGAAAAAATGGAGCTGCGGCCTGTACATGTACAACCCCCATGAGGAATGTGATCACTATGCACTGCACACAGGAACTAATAAAAACAAAAACAGAACAAAACAAGATAGCCAGGGTGCCTGTAATCCCAGCTACTTGGGAGACTGAGGCAGGATGGTTCCAAATTCAAGGGAGGTCTGGGAAATTTATCAAGATTCCATTCTAAAATAAAACATAAAACCCAGGCAGGAGACCAGCCTGAACTACATACTGAGACTTGGTCTCAAAAAATCAAAAATAACAAATACACAAAAGTAAACAAAAAATAAAAAGGGCTGGGGATATAGCTCAAGGCAAAAGCCCTGGGTTCAACCTCTAGTACCATAATTACAAACCGTCCCCCCAAAACAAAGAACACCAACCAAAAACCATCCTAAGACTCACAACATAAGGTTGGGGTCAGTGATGGGCCCCACAGACAACAGGGTTCCCGCAAGGTTATTAACAGGCTGCAAAGTCCCTACCACTAGCAAGGCAGGGTGGCTCTAACACTGCAGCAGTCTGCATTACTCATGCCAGTGGTAACACGGGGATAAACACCCCCCCACCCCGCACTGCGAGCCACAAAGAAGCACAACACACACATAAAGTACATGTTCTCGGTAATGATGATGACCGTTACTGGTTTCTGTATTTATTACACTATACTTTTATTTTTTACACTATACATTTTAATGTTAGTTTTAAAGCATACTACTATTTATTTTAAAAAGTGGAGGCTGAAACATAGCTCAGTGATACAGCACTTACTTGCCTGGCGTGCCTGAAGTCCTGGGTTTGATCCCTAGCATTGCAAAAATAAATAAAAGGTTTACTGTAAAGTAGGGTGTTATAGCCGACTGTGGTGGGGCTTGCCTGTAATTCCAGCATTCTGGGGGCTCAGGCAGGAAGATCAAAAATTCAAGCCCAGCCTGGGCAACTTAGTGACACTTTCTTAAAATAAAAAAAAAAGGACTGGGAGGGGCCAGGGATTTAGCTCGTGCCTGCCTTCCAAGTGCAAGGTCCTGAGTTTGATCCCCATTACCGCAAAAACCAAACCAAAACAAAAACCCAAAAAAAGGACTGGGGCATGTAGCTCAGTGTGAAGGCCCTGGGTTCAATCCCTGGTACTGCAAAAACAGGAGGTTGCATTACATGGCAGCAGCCTCATAGATCCCATGCCTGTGTATCTTAGCTGTGTTGTTTTTTCCTGTTGTGCCTGATTCACTCTTGTGTTTTGTTCATGGTCCTAGCCATGAACAAATTAAATGTAAATTATAATACACATACAAATATATACACTAAATAGCCTAAACGTGTAGCAGGCACCACGTATACTCTGATGTTTCCACAATGGGAAAACTGGCTAATGTCACATTTCTCAGAATGTGTCCTCATTAAGTGAGCAATGGCTATATGCATATTGATATATACTGGAAAAATAGTATTCATTATTATGTATAGTTTGCTACGTAGCAATTTATTGTGAGCAATTTTACTCCTTAAATGTACACATTTGTGAACAAATTTACTTTGGATTACTCTTTTTTTTCAGTACTGGGGATCAAACTTGGGTCCTTGCGCTTGTGTAACAGTCGACGAAACCACTGAGCTAAATCCCCGGCCCTTGGATTACTTTTTTTGAGACAGGGTCTTGCTATGTTGCTCAAGCTGCCCTCGAACTCACAGCAATTCTCCTGCCTCAGCCTCCAGAGTGCTGGGACTACAGGCGTGCACCACCATGCCTGCCTGGACTCCCTCTTGAAGAGCTGGGACTGTAACAGGCTATAGATCACTTTAAAATGATTTCACCATCTCTCCCCGAAACCACCTGCCCTGACCCACAACTAGCCTGAGTTCAAACGCAGGGGTTCACTCTCAAGAGTTTCCTACAGTGTGAGAGAGAGACCACAGCAGAGGCAGTGTGAGTGGTTTCAGCATCATGAGTTGTAAATAAAACCACACCCTTTCCTCTCATCATCCCCCTTCTAAGGACTGCTGGTTAAAATGACAAATTATTCATACTAGCCAAAGCTATTTGGCCCAGGCTGGCCTTGAACTCGCAGAGACCCTCCTGCCTTAGCCTCTCAAATGCTGAGATTACATACAGGTGTATGCCACCATGCCAGGCTGAATACTGTTACCCAATGGAGCAACAGAGTTGCAAATCCAGCCACGGCTCTCGCCATAATCACACATCATACACTCACTCCCTAGAACAGGACCCCTTCTGTTGCACTATCTGTATGACCCTAACACATACGGTTTGGTGCCACAATGTAAATTCATGTTGTAAATCAGTGATGGTGAACCTTTTAGAGAAGAGTGGCAGAACTGCAACCCAAAACCCACTTATTTATTGCAAACTGCCAACACTGCAATTAAACCTGAATACTGAGATTTTAGTTTAGAAAAAACAACTCATACATTAACACCTTTTGTCTTAAAAGAACAATAACACACATGCCACCTGTTGGCCACCACTGCTTTAAAGCAAGCAGTACAGTCTCTGCTGATGAGGAAGCCAACAGAAAGGCGCTCCTCTGCAGCTCTTCCCCGCTGCCCACAGCACTACACTAACAGCTGGGTGCCTGCCAGCCTCAGGGTCCACAGCTGTCTGTGGCGCCTCAGCCATGTGGATGCTGACCTCCCTCCACCTGTACAGAAGGCAGTTCGAGGTGCAGTGAGGTCCTCCTCTTTCCTGACAGGCTGGGACTCCAGCCCACACTCAATACCTGAGAAGCACTGGTCCCCATGGAGGTGAATTTCTAACACTACGTGGAAGTGACTTTCCAATCTATAGCCACACCCTTACTTTCCAGGAGCTTTAGGAAGAGTCCAAACAATGGCACAAGAGCAAACCTGAATCCTGCTGCCATCATATCCCACTATAGGCGCAAAGGGTGCACTTCTTCTCCAGGTCATACTAGGCATATACCTGCTGTTCCACCACAACTATTACTAGCAGCCCCTGGATGCTAAGTGTGTCTTGGTTCAGACAAAAACCTACCCAGTCACTTTCATTCTAAACACAGACACAAACCCAAAGAATCCCAAATGTGTCCATACCCAGAAGATCCTCTCTGCCAGCCTAGAGTAGCCGTGTCTCTCCGGCACAGAGGCTGCTACTTATTTTGATGAGTCCTGACCCATATTCTGTCATGGGACAGGTACCCAGGGTGGCTCTGCTTGCAGACCTCTGCCAGTGTGCGAGGTTCTGAGGCACATCAATGACCACTGGGGTGCAGCGCACAGAACCTGGGAGCATGGGCATTTGCAGCGCCGTGTGCGCACTCGCAGACTACATGTTTGGTTTATTTTCTTTCCAGCTTCCAGAATGGAAACCGCAGGGTTTCTCCAGTGCTAACACCACTCAGTATAGCTATTTCTTGCTTCACAAAGGGGCCACAGTTTCCTTCTCCGTTCACTTCAAAACAAAGAGAGGGAATTCATTCCCAACCCACAGAATGTGTCATATTGCTCTATAGGTCTACTTCACTTCCCCAGGCTCCAGAAAAAGCCTCCTTTCAGTGCGGCTGACCAGATTAGAGCACCCACCTCCCACTTGCCTGGCCCTTTGTGGTTATAAGCAGGAGGGAGGAGGAGTTAGGAACCAGACACCATCCTCTGCGCACTCCCCACCTACCCTCCAGTGAACAGGGATTCAGTCTAACAGAATGGTTTCTAGTCAAAGTGGGGCCAGCTACCATGGAAACGAGGCAGCTAAGCTGTCAAAGGGCTTTTTCATTCCCAGCAGTACTCATTTCTTTCCCCCTCGCTTCCAGTCAGTTGCCCTGGTGAACCATTCCACATATCACCATCACGATGATTAACCTATGAGTATCCTTTTTTTGGGTGATAATTTAACTTTTGGCAATTACCCAAATCTAGCAAATCAAATCAAAACCCACATTTTGTGGCCCAAGTCCTCCTAAGATGAGATCGGCTCTTTCTGTCCTTTACCTTTCTCATGTTGGTCCCGAGAAGATTCATTTTTGCTCTTAAAGTAGGAGAATATATTTTACTGAAGGAGAAAAAGCAATAATATGATTCTCTAATATAGAATTGATATTCAGAAAATAGAAAATCACTACTCTATAGTAAGTGTCAATCCCCAGAATTAAGAAAACTTAAAACTTTGTTAAAGCAGGGAAATGAGTTCCCTGGAAGGCCACCACACACGTCTCAGGAGGACAAAGCCGCTTCGCATCAGCATACCGAGACACACACAGCTCAAGTCTGGGCTGGGCCAGCCGCTGCACCACACCATGGAGACCCTGTGGTCCCGAGGTCACTTACTTGCCCAGCTGTGTCTACAAGCTGAAGATGATATTCTTGTCCATTTACTGTGATCAACTTTGTGAAAGCTAGAGGGAAAAAGGGGATTAAATATTAGTTTAAATAAATTAACTCTAGATCATTCAAGTTTGAACAATGACAATGGACCAAGCACAGAGTCCCTATGATCTCATAAAAAATTCCCAAGAAACAAAAAAGAACAAGTATCTTGAGTTGTACAGATTCTTCCCTATTTCCATTATCTAACTAAGAATCACTGTGGTCTGGCTTGGGTAAACCTTGACTCTTTCAGAAAAACTAGGCAACAATTCATATCCAATAACAATAATCTTCTCTGTGGAGAGTTCCCTCCTTTTATGAGGAAGCGAAATGTACTGCATAAAGTGTGAGGTCTAGGAGGAACCAAAACCACAAAAGTCTTCCATTAATTTATAGCAGTCCAGTGTCAAGAGCACAAGGAGCTAATATTAATTCAAGTATTAACTTTCAGTTCATAAGAAATTAACAATTTTATTGGTAGATAAAACAGCAATGGAACAGATGTTCTGCACTGAAGCTACCACCTCACTTAGCTTAAGGATCCAATTTATCACAACTTCTTTTTCTACCAAGGGGGAAGAAATCAAATTGGAAGGGAGGAGATAATTTAGAATTTAAGGAGTCAGGCTTCAAACACATGAAGGCAAGAGCAAAGAACTATTAACAGTAACAGAATATTTAAAAAAAGAACCATCTGGAACCCTCTGCGGAAGTGGAACAGATTTCCTCTGTGCTTAGCCCAGCCAACCTCCTGACTATCCCGCACCATCAGAGCCCAGCAATAGGATCAATGCCTTAGACAGCCGAGAGAGATCACACTCTGTTGCATACCACAAGGCAAAGCAAGAGTCAGGTGGAAATTATTCAACAATGTGACAAGGAGGAAAACAGGAGAGCCTCACTGGGTCACAGGAGCTCCACAGGGAGGAAGGTAGCTGTAAGAGTTATACTATCGTCTCCTCTTCCAGTGCAAGCAGGGCCAGTCAGGTACACTGAGATCACAGGCCAGCCACCACACTGCACATCATTTCGAACCCTTCTGGAAATGATGACTTTAAAGAAAGGGGTAAATCAGAGGGAAATTCAATCAGATTGGTCCAAGCCTGCAATCCCAGCTGCTCCAGAGGCTGAGGCAGGAGCACTGCAAGTTTGAGACCAGCCTGAGCAATTTAGTGAGAGCCTGTCCCTCCAAAAATAAAAAGGGCGGAGGATCCAGGTCAGTGGTAGAGTGCCTGCAAAAACACCACCACTCCAAAGCAGATTACCTCAAGATGGGGGGATTCCCACTGTGACCTATTTTGCTGATTTTTTTTTGTTACCAGGGATCGAACTCGGGTCCCTGCGCTTGCACAGCTGTTTTGCTGATTTTAAGAAAGCAATCTAAGGTACTTTTCACACTGTAACCTCTCTGACTGGGATCATCTGGCGTGTGGAAGCTTTCAATCACTGTCACTGGCAGTCAAGACACAGCTGTGACGCTGGGGATTTAGCTCAGTGGTTCTGCCACCTGCCTCAAAAGCGCAAGGACCTGAGTTCGATCCCTGGTACCAAAAAAAAAAAAAAAAAAGACACAGCTGTGAGAAACCCTTTCTGGAGGATCAAGAAGTGCATTTCAGATTTGATGAAAATTATGTAATAAACACCAGTGGCCAATGAAAGCAGTGGCTTTCAATCAAAACTAAGTACTGGTGGTCATAAAGTACAATGTAATTACTGTGACAAGATTATTGGAACAAACATCACATATTCATTCAACTACTTCCTGAATGCCACTGCTATTACTGCCACCCCAGCAAAGGAAGGCAGACACATACATATGCACCCACCTGCCACAGCTGGCATACTATCTGGCAAAAGACCATCAGGCAGAAGTTCTGCGGCAAGTGAACATACCATGCAAGTCAAGACAGCTGGAGCTGAGAGAGACAGCAGGCAGGTGACCCGCTGGAGAGCACGGCCTGGGACGTTTATTTGGATTGAGGTAACACACTCAGAGTTTTGAGGAGGGAGGAATGAGATCTGATGCACACCCTTGAATGATCATTCTGGTGACTCTGAATAACAAGCAAAAAGAACATGGAGAAACGAGGTGGGAACCCCAATACAGTGACCAATGCTACCAGGAAACAGACTACACCAGTGGTGCCCAGCCTATGGCATGCATGCCGCAGCGGGATGTTTGTTATCATTAAGCTCTAAAAGGTTCATCATCACTGGACTAGACCTATAGAAGGTGGTGGCCCATGCCAGGGGCAGAGATTCTGGATGTGTGGGGAGGCAGAGCCACAAGGATTGTCTGACTGGTGGGAAGTGAGGTGTCAGAGAATGGAGAATTGGGATGACACCAAAGTTTTTGGCTTGAGCAACAGATGAACAGAGCTACCATTTATAATGCAGGAAAGAAGGGGGAGGAATACTAGGGCTGCAAGAGGAAGGGATCTAAGAATGAAGTTTCTTAAATTTGTGATGCCCATTAAGAATCCAAGCGGAAAGGTGGGCAGTTAGAGAAAAAAGCCCAGAGATCAGCAGAAAGCTTGGGGCTGGGGTACACGCTTGAGAGTCCACAGCAAAATGCAGTAAGGAGAAGATCACTGGAAAGCAGGAAAGACCCGAGTAAGAGGACAGGAGATATAATGTGCATAACAAAAGAAAATATTAATAAACAGTTGAGTAGATCCTTGCACATAAAAAGATGTACATTTCTAACATAGAGCAGTAAAATCAAACTGAAGCCCTTTCCCATTGTGTCACGGGAAACTGTCGTATTCTAGTACTACAGATGAGGGAGAAGTATCCCTAAGAGACAGGACAGACTAGAAGTACACTCTACTCGGGCCTCTAATTTCAACCTTGTGCAGATATGGAAAGCTGGTTTTTTTCCTAACATCACCTTCCCCAAGCATTCTCACCCCTCCTTTTTCAATCAGTAGGGAGACTGGTCCATTCTATCCACAAACCTTATAATTCCCTAAGGAATCTAACAGCAATTCAATAGTAAAGGCTAGTAAACAAGCTAATAAGCCTTCTAGAATCTGGTGTTCACAAAGTAGGATCTGTTAACTAAAGTATGCTGGACTCCTAATTCATAGCTTACTGAGAAGTCCACTAGGAGGCAAGCTCGATAATGCAAAACTCCTACTGAGCACCCCACTTTGCTGTGAGGAGCCTTAGCATTCATCAGTCGTGGTGCCCTGAGGTGGCAGAGGTGGTAAACTGCAGCTATTCCTGCTTTTAAGTCACAAACCCACCCCAGTTTAATTTTGATATACTAACTTAGTTTCTAATGAGCAGTTAGATTAACACAACAATAGATGATAAAATACATCCGAATAAGCACTATTCTGGTCTACAAGTGTCCCAAAATTAGATAATATAAGCTTTACTAATGTTATTCTCCTATATCCCTAAATTAAAGATGACAGAATCCCAAATTTTTTGCTTTTAGAATGAGACTCTATGGAAATGTGCTGCAACTGAATGTTTGCTATAAACAGCCTTTGCTATGCTATAAAGGAAAAGTACAAAATTACTACTGGAATATTTCTAGATCTAGAGTATTGCATTTTTAAAAAAATGATAAAACTATACATATACACATTTGCGTTACTAACAAATTCACAGTAACTTTTTCCCCTTTTTTTGGGTACTGGAGATCGAACTCGGGACCTTGCGCTTGGGAGGCAGGCGCCGGAACCACTGAGCTAAATCCTCGGCCTCCCTTTTTAAAAAAAAAATTCAGTGTTATTGCTAAACAATGTTGTTCTACCAAAGAGAGGGTGTAAGAGCGGAATAAAAGCTTTTGCCCTATGTTGAGACTATCAGAAGTCTGGTAAACAGAACTTGATATCTGAATATGCCTCCTAAACGCCTAAGGGATATATGCAATTTGATATCCATTTCTGCCCTTGACTAAAGACTTAAATAAACAAATACTCTGAAATCATCTTTGAGATGGAAAAAGTTTTCAGGGTTGACTACTAAAATAGAAAAAAAAAGTAAAACACAAGGAGCTGGGCATGGTGGTACACACCTGTAATCCCAGCAGTCTGGGAGGCTGAAGTAGGAGGACTGCAAATTGGAGCCCAGCCTGGGCAAATTAATGAATAAGCAAGTTTCTGTCTCAAAATAAAAAGTTTAAAAAGAAAAGGCTTGGGTGTAGCTCAGTGCAGAGACCCCAAGAGTTCAATCCCTTGTACCACAGCAAACCCCACAGACTATTAAAGATGAAGTTCACAGCCTTAAGTAGCCAGGCAAGCAGGGCACAGTGGCATGTGGCTATACCAGTGGTGGTGATCCTATAGCATGTGTGGGGCAGTGGGCTGTTTGTTATCAGTGAAAGCTCTAAAAGGTTTGCCATCACTGACAGTCCCAGCTACACAGGAGGCTCCCTTGAGCCTAGGAATTCAAGATCAGCCTGGACAATGTAGTAACACCTCATCTTAAAAACAACAACAATAACAACAACAAAAAAAAGTCAAACTTTCTTTTGACCCTTTACTTATCTATGAAGAACACATATTTATAGGGCCGGGGGTTTAGCTCAGTGGTTCCAGTGCCTGCCTCTCAAGTGCAAGGTCCCGAGTTCAATCCCTGGTACCAAAAAAAAAAAAAAAAGAACACATATTTATATATAACACCACGACTTTCTTTCCAACTCAATTTTAAATGGCACAGGATACACAGCCACTCAGAGCAGAAAACCACCTTTCACTGCTCTATGACTAAAGCTCCCAAATGAGCCGTATCTTTTTAAGGCCATCAAGGCCCAATGTGCTATCTTTAGCAAATTCTAAGGCCAAGATAATAGTTTTCTGAATCCAGGGGACACTGACTTGGTTAACCTGCTCCTCCCACTTGCTTACTATCCTGTAAGTGACCAGCTGAACAAATCAGCACAGGATGCAATCAGGACTCCTCCCTGAAGACATCACCAGAGGTTGCTTTCAAACACAGGTTGGTCTTCCCAGAGTTAGCTTAGCAACCAACAGGTTTCCTTCTCTGTCACCTGCATAATAGGACACAAAGGACTGGGGCAGGGTAGAGTGAGGTAGTGGGGTTTGAACCCAAGGCCTTCACACTGAGCTAATCCCAGCCTTATTTTTTAGCTTTTTGAGACAGAGTCTTGCTAAGTCAGTACCCTGCCCAGGCTGGGGCTGAACTCCTGCCTCAGCCTTCCAGAATGCTGGGTTTATACAAAGGACAGTATTCCTTTGGTTTTTTTTGGTTTTTTTGAGGCGGGTCTCACCATGTAGTTTTTTTGCTTTTTTTTTGGTACCGGGGATCGAACTTGGGACCTTGCGCTTGCAAGGCAGGCACCAGAACCACTGAGCTAAATCCCCAGCCCCAAAGGACAGTATTGAGCTAGCAGTGGGCAAACTTTTCCTGTAAAGGACCAGTAAATATTTCAGGCTCTTCAGGCCCCATGATCTCTACTGTAATTAGTCAACAGGGGTCAGGGATTTAGCTCAGTAGTTCCACCTCCTGCCTCACTCAAAAGCACAAGGTCTTCAGTCTCGATCCCCGGTACCAAAAAAACCCCAACTAGTCAACAACTCTGCATTAAAGAACAAAAGGACCCCCAGATAATATGTAAAGGAACAAGGAGACTATATTCCAATAAAACTTTATTGATGCTGAAACTTCAACTTCATATAATTTTCACATGTCACATACATCATTCTTTGAACTTTTAAGCCAGCCTTCCTGGCCTGCAGGCGGGGATCTGCCAAAGCTGCTGCACCAGCAAAGCACTTTGGTATTTCTCCTGCAAGCCTCAGGCAGGTAAGGTCTGTGAACTTAGTTTCAAGATTACCAATCTAGCCATTAAGTCTGCTTCCTCTCTGACTCGATACATTCCATGTTTAAATCTGTGTGCTCCTAGTGACAAGCCCTAGGCAAGCTCTGGTTTAAGAATCTGAGAAGACTGATCCCACAGCTCCCTGAGGCTCCAACATAGCCCCAAACAGGACCAGCTTCACCTTTCAAAAAGCCACCTGATTCTCCTCAGTGGTCCCTAAGAGTCCTTTAGGGAGATTCTGAAACTATGAACCCAAATTGAAAAAAGTAAACGTTGTGGTCATTTCTGCTCATTCATGCCTTTTTCTGCACATGGCTGGTGTGACAGTCAACCTTGATTGGCTTACGAATTGCCCAGGGGATTAGCATATATATGGGTAGGTCATGGAGGTATGGGCCTTGGGGGGCGGTCTATGTATGGTTCCTGGGCCTTCCTCTCTGGCACTGCTACACAGACGCTTCCTGGCTGCCATGAATTAAGCAGCTTTGCTCCACTATTCTCTTCTGCCATGATATTCCTGCCTTGGAGCAGCTGGCCATTGACTGAATCCCCTGAAACTGAGCCACATTCAACCTCTGCTCTGTAAATTGGGGGGATCGGGCACTGTGTTCAGCAACAGGAAAGCTAATGAACACAGTCTGAAACCCAAGAGGGTTGTTTCTCTGCAGCCTCTTTTACGTGTTTAGGACGGGGCATGGTGGTGGTGGGGTCTTGCAAGAGTAAGGTACAAGGGTCTGGAGGGTTTTCATTCTTTCTTTTAAAGCCTGCAATCTCTAAAAAGAGCTACTGCTAAGAGGACAGAAAAGAAAAAGAAGACTATGCTCTCTATTCCTGAAACAGATTCTGGATATGAAGGTTCTAGTTTCCTATCAACTTGAGTAGAAATCTCCAGATGGCAGGGGATCTGGACATTAAATGAAATATTATTCAGTGCAAAATGTTACCCACTGTAAGTTTTCTTTGATCCCAGTTGGAGAAATAAAGATTGAACCTAATGCCTCCTATAATCAAAGCCTCCAAGAATACACAATGGCCATTTTGTGTGCGAGAGGAGCCCCATCAGTGTATAAGTACTTGAAAACAATACTCACTGTTTTCTATGGTTGGATCGTAGGAGTCAACAAATTGGCCTTCAACAAACTGAATCGTCAATGAGGATTTCCCTATAAAAGAGAACAGTTCAGTATGAGTTAGCCTATGAAACCATTAATTCTGCTTTACAAAAAGCCACTCTTAACAGATGAAGAAGGTACCTGGCTCAGAAAACATGGTTTTGATTATCATTTGAGCAATTTCAAGAAGCAAAACATATTTTGTTTGTTTGCCCTATTTGAGAACACTTAAGCAATTAAGCTATTAAGAATTAAGTATTTCTGTGACCTTAACAAGTATTACTGACCCAAGCATGAGATATTCTGTGAAAGGCAAACAATTCTGTGTGCTCTTTCACTAGTTTTTAAGTCACCTGTAAATATGTAACATAAAATTGTTATTTTTCTTGTAGTGCTGGGGATCTAACCTAGAGCCTCACATAAGCTCTCTCCCCAAAGAGCTACACCCCAGAGCAACACAAGTCTTTTATCTAAAAACTCCTTTCGATAGAAATCCTGTCCCAATTAGTATCAAAGGCTGACAGTATTTACTGCTTCTCTTTTTTTTTTGGCCAACAGTATTTAGACAATGAAGAAATATTTTGGATTTCATAGAATCACCAGTAACAACCAAGCCTGTATGCTAACACATCAAGAACTAGAATGTTAACTTCTCACTCCTCTAATAGTTCTCTACAATTTCTACTGGAAGACTTTAGAACCAGGTGCATACGTTGTAAAGAAAGGGCATGAGGACAAGGCCCAGGGTATTTTACTGCCAGAAAGGGGGAAGGAGTTCCTTCCTCAGGGTGCCGTCACATCCTCAGAACATTACCAAACACACACTCCCTGTGCACAGCACACCTAAGATCATCTCCAAAGTCCTATAACACCAGCCCTACACTGCTGGGGCTTCACTGCACCTCCCCTTACCCTAACCATGAAGAGGTGCAGCTGCTTGCACACAGGACACCTTGACACACAAAGATTAAGTTAATTCATTGAAACGTTAGACTGAAAGCAGAATCTGGTGGGAGACAACTAGGAAATCCACAAGTGAGTAAACCCATTTCCTCCTCAGCAGAGCTCAATGGTTAGTGAAATCAGACTGAATTCCCAACTCTGGATGCAGCTCACAGGAACCCCACCATCTGCTACTCCCCACACCGGCCCAGGCTCCACACAGCCCTTCTGCTTTGCCAAGTTCCTGCTGCCTTAGCCTCCCCCCAAGTTCTCTGAGTGTATGACTCATTTCTGTCATTGTGGTCTGGGGTCAAATCACAGTTCCATAGAACAGCATATCTACGGTGGGACCTGCTTCCTAACAGTCACTCTCTTACAGTTACTCTATTATATTTCTTCTTACTACTTTTTTTTGGGGGGACTGGGGATCGAACTCAGGGACCTTGAGCTTGCTAGGCAGGCAGCAGAAGCACTGAGCTAAATCCCTGGCGATGACACAGTACTGTCTGAAGCAAAAGACATAATCAGCAATAGTCAAGAGTTATAAAGAAAAGGGGCAAAAGGGGATTAAAAAGATTTCTGTAACTTTTGGAAGTAGAACTGGTTTAAAAATAGCAAAAGAAAAGGGTCAAGTATGAGACATGCGGTAGCTCCTGGTGACAAGAGGGGGAAACTAGCAGAAACTCTAAAGGGGACTTTTGCTGCACTGTCCCTGTGGTCACCCCTAGGACTCACCCACCTTACTTACCTGTGGGGGTGGAGGAGAGGAGAACACCTCAAGGGCTGCCTGTGAAATGCAGGAAGCCATATTCAACCAAAAAGAAAGTGAAACATCTTAAACAATACAGTATAAGAGAGGCTAGGCATTGTGGTGCACGCCTGTAGTCCCAGCACTGGGGAGGCTGAGGCAGGAGGTTTGCTGCCAAGTTCAAGGCCAGTCTGGGCTACAAAGTAAGACTCTGTCTCAAAACAAAACAAAACAAAACATGCTATAAGAGAAAGTGCAAAAACAGCAATAAACAAGTGGACCATTTTAAAAAGTATAACTAGCTATACATTCAAGATTCCCTATTTGTATCAAAGAAATAAATTATTTGGCAAGCTAAATCAACATTGAACTTGAAAACATAAGTAGCCATTCTGGCAAAAGCAAACAATACAGCCTAATCAAATCCCCAAGAAGGATGTCAGTCAACTATTGTCCCCAGGAATAGTAAATTGGGACACCAAAATTTAAAACTTCATTCTCCAGGGCATAAACTCAGTTTCTCAATTAGACTGGCTGCCGGGAGAAAGGTATTACTCATTAGCAGAAGTGGGACTGAACTAAAACCAAGTTTCCCTTGGCTCTCTCCTAAGAGCAAATCATTAATTACTGAAATTAAGAAGGGACAGGAAGGCTGTACTCAATGACCCGATGAGGCAGTTTTCTGCTATGTTCACTAAAAGTGGGATTACTGGACAGCTGGCACTGAAATTTTTACAAGCCACCGTGGAATGAGGATCTGCATAAACAAACTCCACCATCCTCTTTCAGGGCCCTGTCTTTGGGGTCGTCTCTGCGCAAGTGGTGCAAACAGTCTTTCCGCATCTACTATGAGCATTGCTGACCTGCAGCAAATCATGTCCTTTACAGTGATCACCTGTTACAGTGCCCTCAGAATTTCATACATTTACTTTGGCTTCGGTCTCTAGCAAACTGACTCTGCAACACTAGCTATTTCTGAGGATGATTCATTCAGCAACAACTGCGCTCTCAAAGGCTTCAAGTCTGTACAACCTGAGGAGAATCTCAATCTCCAGATCAACTCTCGAAAAATGTTATATGAAACAACCCAAGAGTGACCAGAAATAAACAGAAAAGCAGCACCTGCCCAGGGTTGTGCACAATGCATAGAAATAGAAAAAGCACTCATTTGATGCGCTGCTCATAAAAGATGGGAAAAGAAGACATCTCAACTCCCATGATTAACTTCTAAATACTCTTCCTCCAAAACAAAAATTTGAACTCCAACTTTAAAAACCACACAAATTACTTAAAAAACTCTTATAAACTTTTACCAGGTAAAAATAGCATTATCGTGGTTTTTGCAATGATAAAATGGCCTGACCAGGGTTTTTCCATCTGTGTTTACACTATGGAAGATGAAGGCCTCATGCACATTAAACACAAGGTCTACCGCTGAGCTGCCCTCACCTAGCTCCACCCCCAAACTCTTTAATGCTGCTTGAAAGGACTCTGCTGTCCACAGCCCAAGCGACCTAATGACAGCCTCAAAGCTCCGAGGTCTTGCCCTAGCAATCTTCATCCCAGATACTCTGGCAACCCATTCCTGAATGCACCAGGAACACACTGCTGCTGTGCTCCCACCTGGGTGCCTCCCACTCAACTAGCAGGCCCGGGTCACCCTCGGCACCATACCCAGACTGGCTCTGAAGCAATGTTTTCAAACCAGGGTCTGTGAGCCACTGGGTCATGAGATCAACTTACTAAGCCATGACCCACAGGTTTTTTTGGTTTTTTGGTAGTGGGCATTGAACTCAGGACCTTGAGCTTGTGAGGCAGGCAGCGGAATCAGAGCTAAATCCCCAGGCCTCTCACACTGTTTTTTAAGAAATAGAAACACCAACCTGGACTGCAAATAAAGGTGTCATGAATCCTCTTTCTCAGTTACACACCCATCTATGGCTGAGTAGCAATGTAAAATGTATTTCTTAGGAAGGGCTGCAGTCAAAAGGTTAGAGATCCACTACTGCAAACCGTGGCCCTCAATCTCTAGTCTCCACAGGTTTCACTTCCTTCTGTACTTAGGCCCCAAGATAAATCCTTTCCCACTAATTTTTAATCAGAAGCTTCCATTTCCTTTCTTTAAGCCCTCCACTAAACCTCTATGATCTTAATCTAATCAACTGCTATTGTGAGCCTGTTGCTCAACTGGAGAGGTCACAGCTTTGTGGATAGGTGATCATTAACAAGCTCTGCCATTCCTTTCCTTCTTGCCCCGTCTCTGCTGGGATCCTCTGTGGCTCCCCTTCTTCCTCCTCAAGTAGTTCTGAGTGCTTGGTGTGTGCCCAGTAGCCTAGCACCCAGGTACTTGCTGTAAATGCAAAGTATAAAGTCCATCCAGGTCTCCTGAGTGAGAAGCTCTAGAGGGTGGCATTTTGCCACACAGTAAAATTTAAGGTTTCACTGCAACAAAAAAATCCAACTATTAGCACCTACCTCCTCAGCATCTGGGGTGTTCCCTAATATTCCAGCTCCCACCAGCAGCTCAAATGGTAAACATTTAAAGTTCACCTAACAGAAGGCAGTCTAGAGATGCAGCCATAATTAAATCAAGCCAAAAGCGCAGAGGAAGCAGGGAGACTCTCTCCAGCTCCTGGCTGCCAGTGCATTCCTCCATGCCCTCTGGGTCAGGGCCCGTGTGCATCAGATGCAGGGTATGAAGCCTGAGCCAAGAGATTCAGGCCACCAGACACGACTGCTCCTGGCTCAAAGGGAGAGGCCAGCATATCAAACTCCCACAGAAGTTCTATCACACTTTCTCTACCTATTCCCTCCCAGTCTCCTCTATTATCTCCTTCTCCTGAAATAGTTCTAGGCAGTTTCTCTACTGGTTTACTCCAGTCCATGTGGCTTGTTATAACCCTGTCTCCACATGCTTGACATGAAGATGACTGCAGCCTACAGAAATCATCTCAGCCGCTTCTGGCTACACTCCACTAACCCACATTAAACGCACACCTGTGCGTCCTCCAAGAAACTGACCACAACACTTGACAAGAAGTGTGCAGATTCTGGCTTGAGAAGACTTAAGCCAGAGGTCAGATAAACAGATAAAGCCCTGGAGACAATTAAGTAAGAGAAGCAGCTCTTTAACCTTACAAAAGAAATCAAACATCAATTAAACCTGCAGGATAGAACTGAAAGAATACAAATGTAAGGATGCCATTGAAAAACTATTGGCCAGAGGCAAAATGTGACTTCTGGGTACCCATCTCTTCAGGGCTAACCTATGACATCTCCACACACGGGTCATGTGGATGGTTCACTCTCCAATTCCTTTGCAGCTAAATGCCTTCTGTGTTCACTTAAACCTTTACTCCTA